CGCCAGGGGGGATTTGGGCTGAGAAAAATTTATTTTGATAGTTGATTTTTCTCGCTTCATGGATGTTGTAAAGGGAAGGGGGGTTGTATTTGGTGATTTTTGGGAAGAGGTGGTTGTATTTATTTTTTGGCGTTGTGGGAGTGGCGGTGACTTTCCTGTTTCACGTACTATATGCCCCCCCCCGCTCGACAGCAAAATTTTTGGTAAAAAGTAGGGAAGTTTTCGGGAAATTTTAAAAAAGGGGCAGGAAGCTGGGGAAAATCTGATGTCTGATTGTAGGGGGGGGTCGTATAGAGTCGACTAAAATCCCCAACCAATGATGTGCCCTGGTCTACTAGTGTTTACCAGCGTCCTCCAGCGATCATCAGCATCTCGAGGAACCAGGGAAATATAGGTATCGATCCATCGAATGCCAGCGTCCACTAGCGTCTAAGAGTGCAGTGTATGGGAAAATAGGAGGGTAGCTGACTGTTGGTACAGTATGGGGATGTAGGAGGGACGCGGGACAGTTTTATTAGGCGTCATGAAGTTGTAGCGTGTGCAATCGCACCATACAGCTATAGAGCGCCGTACTCCTTCACGCTGGTTAACGCTAGCGCTGGCCAGATTGATAGCTATACTTTCCTTGTCGCTGACGGACGCTCAAAGGCTGATGATCGTTGGTGGGCGCTGCTACAAAGTATAAACGCAGCCTAGGAAGTTCTTCTTCAATCAAAACCGAGAAGCGGTGCTTCTTAGGACAGCTTGAATTCGGTTTGACCCATTGAGTTCTGGGAATTCGGTACTTATTATGCACCACTTGGGGTGCTCTCGTGTGGATCGAGGATCGAGTCTGCAGAACCCTCCCACTAAATTGTGCCTAAGCTTCCTCCTACAGAAGAAGGTGATCCTCAGTGAGAACTTTGAAGCATTTCGCGACATCTATCATTCCTCCATTCTTCGACATTAATCTTCGTGAATAAGATGTTCCAGTAAGCTCTCAGTTGAATTCAGTGAGGTAGTTCGATGCTCGTCTGTGAGGTCGGAACTGGAATCTTTGAGGTGCTCCAGCTGTTATGAGCTTCTCAAAAGACATAGCTTTTCGGCCATATACTTTCGGCCTGTGCGACCTGTACCATTTGGCATTTTAATTATATGTAAAGAAGGACAGGTTGGCGAAAATGCCTAATTTCTTCGACCTGACGTTCCAAGTTGAGCATTTGTCAGTGGGAGCAAAATTTCACAGAAAATCAAGAAGACTAGCCTGTAGAGCAAGAAATTATCTGGAAAAGGTGTGAATCTCAACAACAAGACTTCTCACCATCAGCGCGAAACTCCGTGTGGGAAAAAACGCCCTTACTTATGAGCCAATCCTATTGTTGTGGGCACGGTGACGGCTGCGTATTGGACGCCGGCTCTCTTCTCCCACTCCTATGTCTCTTCTTCTCTGTAAAAGAATGAAACGTCATGAAAATACCACTAACCATAAGCCCCACTTTCTTATGCCATACCTTTTACTTATGGTGGCTTGACGCGCTTGCTCCAGCTCGACAAGAGTTCGCATGTTTCACCGTAGTGAGACTTGTGAAGCAGCACCAATGAAGCGAAATGCTTCCCCCACCCAGTCGCGGAACTGCACAGGACTTTTTACTGGAACCATTCCAGCAAACCCTGTGAGAACGTTTTTTTCATTTTCATTCTACAGAACCTGGACTGTAATGATTCGCGAAAATGGAGAATTATAGCTTCTACGTGGATCGGGAATGTGCTATTCTCGATGAAATCTTTCTACGGTACAATGGCAATGATTATGATGACGCCATGTTTCAGGTGAGAAGCTTTCGTAAAATTCATAGGCGGGATTACTACCATGCAACAAATGTACATTCTACTGGGAAGGTTGCTTTAGCTTTTTTAAAAACGATTTGGGTTGTTCCTATGAAAAGGCCCAATAAGAACAGATGTTGATCAAAGCACGTTTTACGTTGGAGAACTCCAGCGATAGGGTATGTAGTTGGTCACCAGTGGGAGAGAAGGGAAGTATTTGCCTACGAAAATGCTTGCGCTTGAAGAAAAAGACCTGCAAAAGTTGGCAGGACAATGAGGCATGGAGCCTGCACAGGTGTCATTAATTGCAATTACACAGCAGGTATTGAAACTAGCGCCACAGCGCAAAACCAAAAGTAACGGAAATGTCCAATAAAACGGAACTCAATGAACTAATACATGAAAAAGGAATTGAAACATCCACGATGCAGTAATGTATGATTCAGGGAGCATTTCATAAAAGCTACTGGTCTCAGTAAAATATGGCCTTGAGTGGATTCATCTCTGGGGCCACTAACAATCACGTCTCCTTCGTCGGACTGCTCTGCACTCACCATTAGTTCAAAATGCCTTTCGTGAGAGAACATGTCCCTTCGGTGCTGTCTTGACTCTAACTCAGTGGTCGACACTATTAAAACTGTGGGTTCGGTAATTTATATGTTCATTCTTGTAGTGACGCAGTAGACTGTTTTGTGAGAATTTGCCATCACCGGCCTGGATCTCCTGAGGAGCCTGACTTTCCTTCGTGCTCATATTAGCTGTTGCTGGTCAATGGTCTCAGCTGTAGGAGTGTGCCACTCTAAGTCCGGTCGAAAGTTGTGCCAAAAATGATCGCTCGTTATGGGTAGTGAGTGGTTCTAATATACTTTCCGGTTACTCTCAACATTCATCAACGGGCCAAAGCAGCAGAAACCAACGTGGCGCGTCAGGTACCATGAAATTTAGCCGCAAGCACGCACTTGCTCTGCCATCCTCTCGCTGGATTTGGTATGTTGTCGTCACACCTTCTAATCGTCACGATGCAGCTTGCCTTTCATGTTCTTTTTTTTCTGGGCACTGCGTTTTTATCGGCTTAGCTGCGGAAGTTGTTCTCTTGTTTGCGATTGCATTTGCCTGGTGTGGATTGTGCAGTTCGGAAGTTAGCTATCACCTTGTCCTCAATCCCACACTTCTTCTGGTCGCACGTTTGTTTAGGAGATGAATGGCTTCCTTACTTTGATTAGCTGCAATAATGCCTTATCTTTACTGCTTGTCGCACATGGCAACGGACGTTTTGACTTAGGTTAATTGTAGCCTGCTTGCTATATTGAATCTAATATACCTTCGCGGTGTGATAGCCTGATGTGGACATTTCGAGATGTTCCCACTATCATATGCACATATATGCAGAACAAAGTTTCGCCGTTATAGTTTCATTAGGATCGTAAGGTATTGGTTTGTTGAAAAGTTTCGAACGTTGGCCAGATACATACTGAAGTCTCATACCAGGAGCAACGAAAGCCCGGCTTGTAACGTAAGGAGGAGTCCAGAGAAATTTCTCTGTGTCGTTCTCATCTTGCGCAATTCTCCAACCTGTGGACTATTCCTGTGGATGACCCTAAAAATTTGGCTATTCAACGATTGTCGGGAATTTCAGTTGTGGTGTTAATGTCATACAGTTGGAATCTGCTGTAAAAGTTTCTCAAAGGGTGAAGGAGTCTTTAGGTCTCAAATGTTAGCTGCCATGTGCACCGTCCCTCTGTCCCCATACAATGTTTCGCTGTTCTTTATGAACCTGCCTTTCCAGATAATGGAATGCCTTACTACCTGAGAAGCTAGATGAACTACGTGATGCTCCACTTATGCGTAGTCTTAGCTTCATTACACGAGATTTGATACTGGACTTAATCTACTGAACGCGCTGTCGGCTTGAGGCCTTTCTTAATTTCCTCCACAATTATTTTGAGGCGGGATCGGGGTTCTTGAAGGCGCCTGGTACATTCGCTTTTGCGCTTATCTTCAAAGACGAGTCACTTGATCATCTCGTTCATATTTCAAAACCACTACATTTGCTCCTTATTGAGGGTCGTGTCGTCGTGTCTTTAACCCAACAACTGTCACATACATTATGCATTCAGGCACTAAATGCAATGTTTTTTTACATTGGATAGAAATGGCGACGGAATTGGGTGTTATGTCCGTGGGACCATCATACTACACTTTTATTCAAGATCGGATAGACGGCTGGCATTAGCGCTATTCCTTCCATAACGCGACCAGCTTCACCCCGCGTTTTCCTTTCAGTGAGCTGAGATACTCAACGATGTCACGTCGATCGTGTTCGAAGAAGGAGAATATTCAGCACCGGCTGTCTATTTCTACCCATCCAAGAGCAGGAACTTTTTTTCAGGTAGATTTCCTTTCTCTCACTTGTTTCTGTTTCTTTCACCTGGACTGGTCTCGAACTTATTTCGAGTTTGTGATTTTTGCCCACCCCTGTCGGTCTGTTTGTTTCTAGACACAGAAACTAGCTTACGTGAGCAAACAGAAGAAGAAGCTGCCGCATGATACAGAGGTATATGTGGAGACCGCGTAACTGTAGTAAACTATGCTAGCTGCTTTCGGAGAGAAGGGGCGAGAAAAGCCCCCACTAGTTACCAACGATCTCGGCAGTAGAAAGCGTTCAGGATTTGCATGCTAGAGATTCAAGTGTTTTCGGACACGTTTTCTTTCCGACAAAATGTTGCCGCTGTTACGAACACTAGAAAAAAAGTTGCATTCATGCAAAATTTTGTATCATAGGGATTTTAACCATCAAGGTTCACACTTTTGTCGATATTTCTAGATGTGTTGCTGTTACTTTCTTTTTTTTGTTTTTGATGGATAACGAATTGTTACCGAAATCTCCATTCTCTCCGTTCTTTGGATCACAATAAGCTACAGAATGCCTCGTCGGTGATATGAAGAGGCAGTTCGGAAGATGCAGAAAGCTTTGCAAAAACAGACAGTCCTGATATGCTGTAAACAACTTAGTTTTGGATATGCTACTCAGGTAGTAGACTTTGTTGTTTGTCTGGTATGCATCGTTGCTCTTTCAGTAAATTGATACCCTACCGTTTGCTTGATTAATTTTCTTGGCAACCTCAAATGCACCATGTCATGCGTAAGGCGAAAGAGAAGAAAATGCTAAGGAAAATCGACCATATACCTATAGGTAAATAATTAGTTATAAGGCGACAGGTTACGCCTATGGTCTCACTTTTGTGAACCGCCGCGTGCTCTTCTTTTTTTTATTTTTGTAGTCGTGAGTTGCTGATAACACTGAAATGATGAAGTAGTATGATATGATGTGATATGTTCTAGAAAGATATGGTGCATTCTTCTTCTCCGGATGATAGGGCGTGTCAGGGTGGAGGGGCTTGGCGTGTCGCGACAACGTCGTTTAAAAAGGACTGACATGAACACTATAATACAGTTTTGTTGCTCGCTGAAAGAAAGAAATTGCGAAGTAAAGGCTCTGCGCGAAACCTATCTCTTCTGACACGCACCTTTCTGAGGCAAAGATGTTTTTTTGTCACGAAGTTCCAACTCGACAAATATATGGCACTTAAGAGGCAAATGGTGTTCACCAAGTTTACGGTCTTACAGACCGAATCTCAGTCTAGCTCCTGTCTGAGAGAGTGAATCAAAGCTCTCGAGCCACAACTGCCACTCTAAACAGAGGCAGAATACAGGGAAGATTCCTAAGCTGGATTGATTAATGTCGAGAGCTCCATCTTTTGCTCTCTCAAACTCGGCAATGGTTCCCTGTTATTCCAGGAAACATCAAGAATTCGCGATTGGCATTGTCATCGAAATAGTCAACGTTGCAGCGAGCCTTGACCAAAAAAATGACCGCCGTGAGTTGCATATTTATCCTGTTAATTACTTATTCATTTGTTTATCGATGTCAAGATGGCAACGGTCTCACTCGATTAACTTCAGGAATTGGTGTACCATATTACGATGTCCTACTATGCTGTCGCTATTTTAACGTCATTCCCATTCTTTTACTCACTGTATCTGATATTCTATATTTCTACTCCACAGATGAACACCTACAAATATTTTTTACTTAATATACAGGTAGATTCCAATTATTGCAATTACTTTCGTGTATAGTCTGCGATTGTGACAGTCTAAACAGGTTAAGTATACCATGTGAATATCGTGTAGCAGTTCACCTGTGAGAAAAATCCCTATACAAAGCGAACAGGTTTTCCATTAAATTGGTCAAACAATTCAATGTTTGAATTCGAGCTAGTCGATTGTTATTCTAATCCCCACACTGAAAACTTTTCTGTCTAGATTGCCACCTATGTGGAGACAATCTCCTACACAACACTGGTGTCACCAATATGGTTGACTCCCTATTTTGGAATCAACGCGGAGGGACTGTTGTGGAAACTTTTCCGACTACCAGCTCAGTACTCCTACGTAAGTGAGACTCGCTGGTGATATTAATGCTTTCAAGGGCTCCATTCTACTGAAGAGGTAACGGATCATTGTCCCTGGAATCTACTCTTTGTCAGAAGATGCTGTCCTTCATAGGACAGTGATTGCTCAGCAGCGTTCTGAAAGTTCATCGACTCCACAAGCACTCAAGATACCGATGAAGAGTTATTAGAGATAAAAATACCGGCACTCTGATATGTCTATGTAGCATTCAGGACTGTTTGTGAAATTGAGCCTCGGAAGCCCGTGAACGCTAACACCCGTCTGTGTGGGCTTTTGCGTGCCCACGCGGAATTATCGCCACGGATCTGTGGGAAGGAGAGAACTTGCGGCGTCCTAGTTCCCCAGCCTGGAGCCCCTTTCATGCGCCTAAAGTCGACTCTCCCAGCTCCACCCGCGCACAGTTATTCTAGCCCTAGTCAAACGCGCTACTTCTTTGGCCCTCCCACTTCTGGTAGTTCTCCGATTGTGGGATCGCTGCAGGATTACAATATCGACGCAAGTAGTGTACATCGAGGATAGCGCGAGCGGAGATGGGATGACCTCGGGTATCACTCCACTTCAGCCCCGACACCCCTCCCACTCATGTGTGCGAGAAAAGTAGCACGCTACTGCGTCATCGTACGTGGCAACGACGAGGGCTTGCGGGTTCAGTCCACAGTTATCTTTAACGAGTTTTCACGCCTTTATGTCGATTTCCTGGAAGTATCCCTGCAGAGGCCATCCTGCAGAAGGAACAGACAGAACCCGTAATAACTGGCATCACATGGGTTACCTGGTCACCACGTATCCATAAAAATAAAAAATTGCGAAAAATGGCGAAGCTCGCTTGCAAAAATGGTAAATAATTTTCATGAATATCTTTAGAGTGAGGTGTTACCATTTTAGGGCACTTATACGGGACTGTACAGTTGTGCGATAAGTGCACTATGTGCGGCCTATATCTATAGATATAGTCTTCTCCTCTACAATATTTCCTTCGAGTTTTCAAATCGTACACTAGCAATGATTATAGCATGCATATACATAGTAACGGTTGGAAGTTCCATCACCATTAGCGGTCTTGGCATTCAAGGATCATGGCGAAAGCGTAGCTGATGTGAGGAAGGTAAGGAAGCTAAATTATGTGACTGGCCTTAGGTAACAATACTTTTATTATCCAGAGCCAGATTCCCCTCCACGGTCTCATTTATGAATTTCAAGGTTGACTCTGATATATACCTCGGAGATAGTTTCGTTTCTCTTGGTGGACCAACACTATTTATTTGGATTTACTACGATACAGTACTTGCCGTTGTAATGCCAGTGGTCATCGTGGTGATTTTGAGACATACCTCAATAATACTCCGAAATCAAGCAAGATTCAGCGAAATATCCAGGAAAATGCATCAGAGCGCCATTTCTGGCTTGGCTGTTCAGGTGAGCAGAAATGGAAAGAGCTTGTCATGATTTGGGCCTCAAAATTGTGAAAAATGCTATGATATTGACACTTCGCACGCACCTCATTTTGCGCTTAAGTAGTGCCTGCGCCAACTTAGTTCCACTGCCATTTCTCATCAAAATTCACATGAGCCTGCATACGAAGGTGACGCCATGATCACGAATATGACCATTCTCAGCGCATAAGCTAACGTACGACACTCTGGTTACTACGCTATGTCAATAATGAGCTCGTGGGTAGGGGTGGGGGGGGGAAATCACCTCCCTTCCTGTGCTCCGCCCTGATAAAACACTGGCGCCAAAAATGAATTCCATCTTCGTTCAGACTCCCTCATCAACCCGCATTGCAGAATACAAACCGAAAACCGAAGGACCGAATACAAACGAATTCGGTCCAGGAAAGCTGTCCAACATTGTACGGTGGGGAAAAAGAATGGAAAAACCCTGTTGAGTGGGGAAAAACGTGCCATCAGTACCACGAAA